TATATATATATACATATAAACATATGCTTATATTAACTATGAAGTAGACAGAATGATTCATAAATGAAACACTATAGAAGACTCCAAGCGACGGCGGCACATGTTGTCATACATTTAGTGTTTCAACAAAATGCAGTCCTTGCTCTTGGAAGGTGCTTTGGGCGTCCGGGCCTTTTTCCCTCGGGAGGCACTTGGGGAGGGATCTTGAGGTGGCTCGGCCGTCTCCGGCTGTGTCGCAGGAAAGAGGCTTTCGGCTAGTGTGGTAGGAGTAGACCCAGCTGCAGAGTCATTCTCCACTGCATCAAACCTCGACTCTAGGCTTTGCGGGGCGAAGCGGTGATCGTGTTGTGCATGACCACCAAGCCCCACCTGGGCTACCCAAACATAGCCCCAGCAACCCTTGCAGAACTCGAAGCATCTTGAGGTTTAGGGGTTCGGATTGTAAAACTGAGGACAGGTGGTTTATGGTGATGCTGAGAACATATACAATATCAAGGATTCGCGGGGCTTTATAAGGGCTTTAGGAGGGGCTTTATAACAAGGCTTTGTGGGTCCTTAAGGTTTTAATTATTGTTGCTTTGGAATTGGAGCAGTGCGGGTTCCTGGCTTTAGTAGTTTGGCGAAACAGAGACTCGGGGGTTTTAGGGTTTTGGGGGACTATAAGGCTTTAAAGGAACAACCCGAAGCCACGGAACCCTCTCGGAGGTGGTTGCAGATCGCCTCTTCTTCGGCGGCGTGGTTGCACCAGCCGGGCTCCCCAGCTCCTTCAGAAGTTGCTGCAAGTCCTGCAGGAGGATATGTATATGTGTATACATATGCACATGTATTATAGAGATTTAAAAGCGGCTGAACAAGAAAACCCATATGTGGCAGCTGCCGGTGTGTCCTGCAGTTCACTCTCCAAGCCTTCATCCGTTACCTCCTTCTTGCAAGCCACTGCACGAGCCATGGGCGGTGAGGCTTTCTTGTTGGCCTTCACCATCCTAAAACTAGCGGCTGGGCCTCCGGTGGCCCCACAACAAAATTATATGTGCTCGATCATGAGACATCACCCAGCACATGAGTCACAGTCTGCACACCTATAGACAGCATGACAGGGATTGAATATTCTGGGATGCATTTCTGAAAAGTGGCCTCTTTGCAAAATGTGTCCGGTTACGGCTTCTTGTTGGGATTTTATTGGGATAGCATTACGGCTTTTTACGGCTTGATGTTGGGATTATATTGGGATTTTACGCTTTCGGTACGCCCTACGGCTTTTTTACGGCTCATTACGGTTTCGGCATGCGACCTCCCTATCCCGATAAATCCCAACATAATGTTGACATTTTGTTGGGATACGGTTACGGCCTTGTGGGTTCTGCAAAAAAAACAATTTCCGAAGTGCAACAGAAGAGATTCAGCCCCACTACAAGCGAAGATAGCCCCCAAAAAAGAATCACAACCGACATTCCCTGAACCCGCAAACATCGCCCGAATGGCAAGCCACTCCCGAAATATGGAACAAATCAGCCTTTCTTCGAACTCAGAAATCTGACCTGTGGCTAGAACAGCACGACAGCTTGCGTACGTGGAATCATCCCAAAACTAGGCAGCAAATTATTTCAGCTATATGACAACCACTATAATGGTCGTTCCTAGAAATAGATGGGACAGGATGATCCATAGATGCACGAATTAAAAAGCAGGGCTTGCGTGCAGCCCAGAGCGAGCCTCCGAGCCCGGGGCACAAACTTAGCCAACCCTGTTTAAAACCCCTATGTAGACCACAGCTATACACCCGCCCGGCCGAAACAACCGCCAAACGAACCATGCCGGTATAAGTGCCCTACACCACCACTAAAAAACCAACCTCTCAGCCAGGTCTGACGAATCTCGGCTGCCTGCAGCGAGCCCATTTGGGCTGGGCGAACCCTAAGACACCCTTAAGTGTTAAATCCAGCTAGGTTTGCATTTAGGGGTTCTTAGGGATCAGGTCCCCTTGTTTTGAGATTGGCCTGGAATTCTTGATGTGTCTGTGGTGTTGCAACTAGCAGACTGCCTGCTAGTCTAACTACAGCTATACTGAACTAATAGAAGGGCCGGAAGATCGCCTAATACGAGCACATAGGCGAGCCTAGTAATATTATCGACATCCCGACGAACCCTACCTCGCTAGCCTCCATTTATAAACCTTACAGACACCCCTTCAATGGTCGGGCCTCGGGTTCGGGGCTTTAGTTTTGGACTTCTGGAAGAGAGGTATTTAATTCTAGGACAGGGACACCTCAAAGGAGGGAGTCAGGGTTGGGTAAGGCTTCCATGTTTTGGTTGTCGACCATCGATCCACCTTACTACCCTAGAGAGAAGCAAATCCCGCCATATGATATATTAATGATATATTATAAGGAGCTACAGGGCCGGAGGAGGTACCGTAACGTATCCTATACATAGATTCTGTTGATAACCCCAACCTAGCCTATGATGAAGTATGTAAAGCAAACCAGTCAGTGTGGAAACGGTCCAAGGCAGCTTATGTACTTGAATAGGTCTATGTACATATGAAGTTACATCCTCTCCCTGTCTCCATCACTCTCTTTATCCCTCTATCTCCTCTCTCTCTCTCTCTCTCTCTCTCTCTCTCTCTCTCTCTCTCTCTCTCTCTCTCTCTCTCTCTCTCTCTCTCTCTCTCTCTCTCTCTATATATATATATATATGTAGATACACATGCTCATGTGTACACAGACACACACAGACATATACACATGTATATGTAACTGTAAGTGTATATGTGCACATACATGCATATATATATATGCAAGCACATAGACACAAGTGCATGTGTGTATGCTCCTTCATTGACAATAAGCAACTGCATCGAACAAAAATTCTTCGCACTACCAAATCACCAACAATTACAATACACAACAGCGTGCAGCCTCAACTCTCCGAAAGGAAACATCGTCGATTGTACTTAGTAGAAGCTGTAGTACTGCCTAGTGTTGCCAACCTCAGTCTACATTTATAACACCGCACAACCTGAAAGACCGATCGATTCCTTGGCGAGCTGGGCCCGGGAGGGCTTCCAAAGCCTGTGGGGATCGTTGTTCGGGTTTCGAGCTTTGGGTTGTGGGGCCGGAACCTGTGGGTTGGAATGTATATAAACTTTGTTGGGGCTTATGATAGGGCGGTGATTGTGTCAAATGCCGAAAGAGTGCAGGATCAGTGTTCGAGGTTTGGGTTTCGATCAGGCTTATAGTGGTCTAGGGTTAGCAGGGCACCATCTTTTTACTTGATAAGCCCAGGCAGGCACTCGGGCCTAAGGCAAAGGATGAAGAGCATGCGGTTCGTAGGGATTTAGGCAGAGGCCTACTCTAGAGTCCTAGGGGTCACGATAGAGACATCTGATTGAACTGAAACCCAGCCGGAAAAGTGGAAGGGAAAGCCAGCAGCAGGCACAGGAACCTGACAAGAACCCAATCTCCGACAATCCTCAGCTTCCCAAAGCCGGGCCTTTCGCAGATCCAGCACTCGGCGGGCTCGCACGAATAAGGCTGTGTATCCGGCGGCTGAGAATGGGAGAATCTAGATTCTAGATGCGTGTGTATTCTGCTTACACCTAGAGGATGATTACATCGAACATATATCCTGCATTCGATGTGTGTTCAGAATGACTAGCGAGTTTCTATGGCCGATTTTTGAGTTGGCTACAGCAACACAGAGATTCGGCGATGTAATGCTCAGAATACAGCTGCCCGGGCAGCACCATTAACCCTGCAACTAGCCGGGTGCACCCTTGGTCTCCTTGACGATGCCCCGGTTGCTGCCAGAAGTTCTTGTCTGAATAATGCGACGAACCGCCACCGTAGGCCTGCGAAGGGGCCGGCCCATAGGGAAAAATTGTAGTTGGTGTTCATAGAGCTAACTCTGCCGAGGATACGACTACTTGTGACTTCAACGACAAGCAGCTGATTGCGAGGAGACGGCGGGCTTGGAAGTGTTCTTTTGTCCAAGCAGGGCTCAGGGTCTCGAACATCATGCGAAGCACACGAAATTGGCCTTCGCTTCGACCATGCAGGTAGGAGGCTTGAGAGGTACACAGCATGAACTCTGGTATTAGATAGACTACGAAGCGAAACCGCCTAGGTATGCAACCTCTCCTCTATCCTCCCCCTGGGCTCCCAGTTGTAAAACTCGTTCAGGCCCCCTCTCCCTCGCCGGGAGCATCGTACAAAAGGGCCTTGGAAACCTGAAACTTCGCGAATGCATCGTTCTCGTCGAAACCATTCAGAAGATCAAGAGCCTCAGGTAGAAGCCGTCAGATCTATAGAGTCGCTAGCTCTTGCCAGGAGATACTCAAACCCGTGATCGCATGCAAAGTTCTAAAACCCCAGCAAAGACACGAGCTGCTTGATGGGCAAGAAGTTGGACTTCACATCCACCTTTGAGGATCCACAGTAGGCCACCTTAGCCGCTGTTAGCAATGAAGTGCCATCCGAAGTATGTTTGCAAGGAGTGCTTGAATTGACATCAGCTCAGGCACCTGGTTCGTGTCCTCCTGGTTTACCACCAAGAGCCCAAAGCCACTTCGAGACCAGTAGGCCATAATCTTATGGGTGGCTTTCGGGGTGCGATTGTACTCGTGGATGAAAGCTTTGATCTCGAGCTCTTCCTACCGTGCTTACACATCAGACGACATCACAGAACCATATATGCTCATGATTGTGCTCTGGATTCAAACTCCACAAACGGTCCTCGGTGCGTGTCCCTGGCGGCTTCTCCTTTTTGTTCTTGGGTTCTTTCGGCGCTTTCTCCTTTCCCTTCGCCTTTGCTTTCGCTTTCGGTATGCCTGCTGCTTTCGCCTTCGCTTTGGCCTTTGCTTTCGCCTTGGGGCGTGGGGCTTCTGGCTGCTCCTCCTTCTCCTTGTCTCCATCCCACTTCGTATCGTCCGTTGACTTTGAAATCATAGCAGATGGCCTTTTCAGGATCTTGGGGGTCTTCGTCTTCTTCTTCTTCTTGGGCGGACATTTCGTTTCGCCCCCATCCTCATCCCACTCCTGTTCCTCCCCATCCTCAGCCCACTCCTCCTGTCCCCACTCACTCCAATCCTCTTGGTGATTCTCCTCCGAATCTGGTCCCTTGGAGCCCGAAGCTTTAGCCGCTTTAGCCTTAGCCTTGCCTTTGGCCCGTGCCTTATCCTTCTTGCGTTGCTGCAAAGCCAACTGATCAAGACGGTCCACGACCTAAGCTCGAATGCCAAGCCTAAGCTCATGCTGCATCCACCACTGTTCATGTGAGACGAGTTGCAGGAGCCATCTCCTGCTGTACCACCTGGGTCTCCTCAACATCCATCGGCGATCCTCAAGGGACTATAATTTGAAGGGTATGAACATATAGGTTTTATACTGGTCATATAATGTATGTATGGGTAAATATGGATATATCGCAGTGTATGCATAGAGACACTACATAGGTATCTGTATATCCACATAGATATATATATATATATATATATATATATATACATATATACATAAACACACATATATACATATATGAATATATATGTATAGGTGTGTGTGTGTGTGTGCGTGTTCGTCTACTTCTGAGTCTATGTGTTTCTCTCTGAGCATGCTTTCGTTTGTCTCAGCTGTTGTGACAGAGTGAGCCAATGGAGTGAGACTGCATGTGTGTATATGTGTGCATGTGATAGTCGCGGCGTGTGTGTGTGTGTGTGTGGTGTGTGTGTGTGTGTGAGGGTATGTCTGGGTGCGGCTTCATATCCTTACAGCTAGCCGCTAGCACCGTTATAGAGACTAAGCAGTGCCATGTTCTGGGTCTCGTGATGAGGCTTTGGCAGTTTTATCTGTGCACTGACCCTTGTTATGTGCCAAATGCATGTGTAGGTGTATTGGTGTGTAACTATGCATTCATGCACATAGACAGTATGCACGAATGCAGGCATGGTTGGAAAGATGTATGTGTGTATGGCGTCGCATGTTATGGGGTGGAGTGCTATTGTATGGTATGGCAGGGTATGATATGGCACGGTATGGTGTGCATGACTTAGTGTGTGTTTAATGTATGTGTGTACAATAGATTGGACTGATTATGTATGTAGGTCTGGATATTTGTATTTATTTGCATTGAATGAATGAGTGAATGTATGTATGTGAGTGGGTGTGCGTGAATGAGTGGATGGATTGGTCTAGTCTGTCTGTCTGTGTGGGGGTGTGTGTGTCTGTGCATATTAACGGTTCCGTATATGTATGTGCACATATACTGCTTTATATATATATATGTATGTATGTATAGAAACCACGAAGATACACACTACGGGATGAATATGTGTGCATCCCTGCATGTAGTGTTTCTGTATGCTAAACCTGTAATTATACATGATTGATCACACACATGTGCCTGTGTGTGTCTCTGTTGATATAGATATATCTACACAGCTGTATCTAAGCAGGCATGTTGCATGCACGTGTGTGCATGTGCGTGTTTCTGGGTTTGTGGGAGGCATGACTATATGCTACTTATGTACCCGAAGAAGAAATTAATTTGCTTTCATTGTAATTTCACGAAGCCCTACTCAACGATGAATCTAGCCCCGAATTTCGAACCAAGAAACCATTTTGAATCGGCTGGGGCCCGGGTTCTTCCGGGGCAGCAACAGTAGCAGCAGCGGAATGCTTCCTCTCCTCGAGCCTGGGCTAGGAAGAAACGAACCGAATCCATCCGAGCGAACCCCAAGAATGTAGGAATACCACATGTGGTTTGACACTCAAATACAAAGGCGAGGCACATTGTTCGGATGTTGGCAATGCGATTCTCCAACATACGGCGTTTGGCTTGAGAGGCAGCTTCCATGCCACTGATACACACACAGTCATTAGCATCATCCTCATCGTTAGCAGGATGCGGCTTGCTTCGGCCTGGCTTGGACTTCGCTGCAGTAGCAACCGAAAGCTTTGCGACCGGTTCCGGGGCATCACCCCCATCATTCGATTCAGGCTCAAACGGCTCCAAATCAGGCTCATGCTCCGGGTCCAACTCCGGATACTCAGCCTCGCATCGGAACAAGTACAATCCCAAGCCTACAAGTGCAACCTTTGGTGGATCGCACGACGAAAACAGGCCTTGACTCCGAAGCAGGAGACGATGTGGCGATAGGCCAAATCCTGGGTTATTGGAAAGCTTTGCATGGAGCTAGCTATCTACCAAACGTGAATGCTTTTGTGAATCCTGAAACCTTTATGCTATCGAGTTTCCCGGGCTGATCTGTCGCTCTGAAACTGCTTCTTGCACATGGACAACAAACTCTTCATGTGCTTCGCATCCGTGTGGCATACAGCTGCTACTGCATCCGGCAAACGAAACTCAGCAGGAAGTTTCGGCGGTCGACCTGCTGCTGCAGCCTTCCGCTTCTCCTTAGACTCGTAGTACTTGTACCAAAGGGCAGACAGCTCCTGAGCAATGGCCTCGACAGACGGGATTTTCAAGCTCCTAGCCGCCCTCATCTGAACCATGACGGGCTTGAGAAACATATCATTGGCGACAGCTGTTGATTGCATACAGATGGGAACCTTTTCCCCCTCTGGAGGCACAATCAAGCCCTTGGCCCCTTCCTCCATCAATCGTTCTTTGACATCTGGATTCACAAGCCATGATACACTCAAACCCGCAAGTTCGACTTCGTGAACCTCGCGAGCCATGGCCACACAGGTGGCAAATCCACTATGGCCCAAAAATCTGATCTGAAATGCAGCAGATCGACAAGCAGCAACGGCAACAAGACTGCTTGCGCCCTTCCACACAAAAAGCTTGCAGGGGTGGGGCACACCTGTATCTCGGAGCCATCGCCGCCCCATGGTCGAGTCAATGGTTGGGCGGCTGCCCATTGCAAATGTTGTTGTGTGGATGTTTGAAGCATGCTTGCTTTCCAGAGCGATATTGCCGAACTGCCGTACTGATCTGCCTATATTTATGAACCGGCGGATGAAAACCATCCTAATGACCCCCTATGAATCCCTAATGACCCTATATGAATCCCGAAACGAAAACCCAGACAGCCTCGTGAAATCTTGATCCATATCGCCGGCGTGGCGATAGAAGGCTTTCTGGGACCTGAAGCATGCGGGTATCTTTGATGGGTCGGGCTGAGATTGGTTTCGTATGAGTCGGGCATCCAGGGAGATTTCAACAAGATATATATACCTATTCCGGAAGCCAATCCTAAAATCCGACCGCTTTCACTACATCGAAAAAAACAATTTCAAAACCGAATTACGGCCGCTTTACGGGGAAATCCAGATTCCACTAAGAGGATGGATTAAAGTGTCCGCTGGGATCTCCAGGGTGAACCTAGACCCCCCAACCAAAAACACCTTACACCTTGAAACCCTGAGCCCTACGTTGGAGACCCATAGAACCCTTGTAGAACCTTGTTCAAACACCGAAGCCGTAAGCCCTAGACCCCCCTGGACCCTGGACATCCAACACACTTCTGACTTCTACCGCCTTTTTTGAAGGTCGTAAGCCCCCCCCCCCCCCTGCCCCCCCAAAAAAAAAACATATACACCCTGACAAAGCAAGACAGGCTAAACAACAAATATCCTCCAAGACCCTTTGACACTGGAAGATTAAACCCGAAACTCCTGGCAAAGCCCTACACAAGCTTGTGCTCCAAAAAGTACAAAAGCTCTAAGCCCTTTACGCCCTAAACCCTGAACCCGAAACCCTAAGCCTAAACCTAAAACTCTAAACCCTAAACTCTAAACCCTTAACGCCCTAAACCCTGAGGCTAAGCCTGGGCCACCTCCGGGTGCCTTAGACAAAGCCGCCCTCACCACGCTTCTGGCGCTGTGGGAGGCTTTCTTTGTGTGCTTGTCTTTGCAGTTTTGTAGAGCTGTTAGGGTTGAGGGTTTCGGGTTTAGGGTTTTTTCTCGGCCGGTTTTGGCGTTTGCAGGGCTTTTAGATGTCATGGGGGTGTAGGGCTTTCTTGGGGATTTCAGATTTTCAGGGTAGCTGGCTGGGGTCGTAGGGTCTAGTGTTAGGTTTTTCAGGATCGCTGAATGTTCCCTGTCGATACAGTTGCAGCTTTGGTTCGGCGCTTCAATTCCTCAGCCTCTTGATCCACAGTCTTTCCGGGCCCCTAAGTCCCTACGATTTAGCGTTGGGAAGCTCTTTTCGAAGGCATGCCCTCTTCCACGTCACCCCCTAAACCCTAAACCCTAAACAGTGATTCCGATGTTGTGCGACCCTTTTGGAGCGACCTGCACTCCGCTGACCAGGCAAACCTGAACTCCCACTCATCATTCAGATACTAGCAGTACTAGTTTTCTACTAGTAGAGGAGCATGCGTCAGAATGATATGCATACTGAAGAAGTCATTGCCAACATCATCATGTTCTTGTTCTTCTATTTCATAGTGCTGCCGTCGTCATCGTTATCGCCATCGTCATCCTTAACATCGTCAAAGTCATCAAAATCGTCATCATCATCATCATGACAGCATTGGTTAAGGTGACTGATGAGAGTATGAACAATAGCAACATCAAGAGCCACGAGAGGATGGCAATCAGGATCATCCGGTTTGGAAGCCGAGTGTCCCGCGTAAGTGGAGGTGAAGGGGCTTTCGCAGCCGCAGCCAGGACCCTGGAGTGCTGTGGTGTGGTCGTTTAGGGCTGATGATTCCCCTGAATAGCCCAACTGTTCCTATGTCAGCCATAACATAGATGGATGCTGTATAGGTGTGCACTTACACTACAACCTCAGGTTTGAGGTTTGCCGGTGGCGCTCCGTTTTGCTTGCTTCGCTTCGGGAGTATAGGGCCTTACGGCTTTCACAGATTCGCGAACCTGCTTAATTGTTTGCAGTGGTTCTGCTGCAGAAGTGGGTTCATCAGAAGGTTTTGTCTGCATTGCTGAGGGGGGAGAAAGAGCTCGATTTCCCTTATGATGCCCTAGAACTTACGGCTTACGGACCCAGAAGTTTTCAAAGTTCATTCTCCCGGTCCTAAACTCTAAATCCCTGCAGATCCAACCCCGAGCGGAAGACGAGACCCTACAGTAGAAGCCAGAAAGTTGGAACATGATTATCCTAACCCTTTTATGGTAAATTATAGGGTATCCTACACTGAAACCATATTCCAACTTTCTGGAGTTCCCTGTAACCCTGGAAGGAGAGCATCAAGGGCTCCCCATGTGCTTAAGGTAAAGTATAAGGGATCCTAGCACTAATCCTCCTAAATCCATGTTCCAACTTTCTCGCTTCTACTATAACCGCAAGGTTCCCCCCCACACCGGAACCCCAAGGTGACATGGAAGGCTGAATAAGTGGAGAGCTCCTTGGGAGCTTTATGGAAAATATAGAAACTAGGATGCCCAGTAGTACCCTTATTCCCTTTTTGTAGTCCTAGGTTCCTTATAAAAAAGTTACCCAATACCAAAGAGAGAGGCCTTTTTATTCTTAGGTTACTGGGTATCCTAGGAAACTATGGAGGGCACTATGGTATCATATGGATGAATTACACAGTGCCCCGATTCCTGCATTATCTTCTGGTGGGTCTTTGAGGATCCCCGGCCTAAACCGAGACACGACCAGCACACCGAGATTAGGGGCTTCGGATCGGGGCTTTAGGGTTTAGGGGTTTAGGGGTTTTGGGGGTTTAGGGGTTTAGGGGTTTTGGGGTTTAGGGGTTTAGGGGGTTTAGGGGTTTAGGGGTTTAGGGGTTTAGGGGGTTTTGGGGTTTTGGGGGTTCAGGGGTTCTGGGGTTTTGGGGTTTTGGGGGTTTAGGGGTTTAGGGGTTTTGGGGGTTTTGGGGTTTTGGGGGTTTAGGGGTTCTGGGGTTTTAGGGGTTTAGGGGTTTAGGGGTTTAAGGGTTTTGGGGTTTTGGGGGTTTAGGGGTTTAGGGGTTTTGGGGGTTTAGGGGTTTAGGGGTTTTGGGGGTTTAGGGGTTTAGGGGTTTAGGGTTTAGGGGTTCTGGGGTTTAGGGGTTTAGGGTTTAGGGGTTTAGGGGTTTAGGGGTTTAGGGCTTCGGGTTTCGGTGGTTTATGGCCAAGGCAGCCGGAATCAAGTGTTCGCACGTGTACATAAGGACACACATCGATAAATCAGGATTAAGCAGCAACGGGCCGTTGTTGATGGGTAATCCGGAGGTCTACCCTAAACCCTAAACCCGAAACCCGAAACCAGACAAGAAACCCTAAACCCAAAACCCTGAACCCTAAATGAAAACTGCGAGACCAAGCCACAACTGCGAGTCACAATTTCAGAGCCAGTAGCTCCAAACCCACTGAATCCCAAACCTGAAGGAATCCAAAAGCCCTAAGACTAATCATGACGATAGGAATATTCACGATACTCATCATACCAGTGAAGATTAGTAATACTAACAAGAATAGTAATCATAACTCACAGTAGTAATCAGCTCTTCAAATATTAACAAGTAGTTCCTTGGAAGTTCTGACGTCTGTTGCGGGTCTGCTGTTGGCACTGATCCAAAGGTGGTTTTACAGGTCTTACTGACACCCTCACATTGGCCTTGCCTTCCTTTTCGTTCTCCTCATTGAATTACGCGGCATGGCTACAGGATGCCTAAACCCGAAACCATGAACTCTAAACTCTAAACCCTAGACCCGAAACCTTGAACTCTAAACCCTAGACCCGAAACCTTGAACTCTAAACCCTAGACCCGAAACCTTGAACCCTAAACCCTAGACCCGAAACCTTGAACCCTAAACCCTAAAGTTACAGCATCCTGGAACTGCATTTCAGGCTCGAGGGAGAGTTTTTTAGCTCGAAGCTTCGACATCCCATCATGGCGGCGCCGACCTCACCTGATGTGATTGTCATAGGCGCTGGCCTGGCAGGGCTCTCGGCGGCGAGGAGACGAGGGCGAGACTGCTTGGGAGTGTACGGGTCTGGGCCTTGGGGATGTCTTGTCTCTAAGTTCCCGAACCCAGGCTGATGAAGTGAACTGTGCTTCATGGCTTTTGAGCCTATGTCTAATGATATGGCACGATGTGACAAGAGACAACGGTAGGATATTGCTAGCCAGGCTATGTGACAACTGTTCGATCTGTGTTACACCTCAAAAGGACATCGTCCAACCAAGCTGCACTAGACCTCAAACCTAAACCGGAAACCCTGTGCCCTCGACCCCTAAACCCTACATCATGCGTGAAACTTGCACGCCGGAGAACATACATGTGTTTCCGCTCGCAGCTGCTGTTGTAATCTTTCCCAGGAGGTACCTAAAGCTTCCATTCTAGTTTCTTTTTTTGGGGCTAAACCAATTTTGGTCTTAAGGATCCCAACAAGTAACCCCCAAAAGGAACTACAATGGAGACTATGGGTAGACAGCCCTTCCCAAGGTTTAGGTTTTCAATTTTGCGGCCCTTGGGATCCGGGATCCGAAGGTCCATGGATCCCCATGCGGCCTACTTTCAGGGTTTAGGGTTTACCCATAGACCCCATAGTAGTTCCTTTCCCTAGGCATCTAAGGACTCATACATTAAGGCTTTTGGGCCCAAAGACCATACTATATAAGGCTTTTGGGCTATTTTGATGCCCAGGATTTTGGGGGTTCATATTTAGAATTCTATACGCTCCCAAAAAGGAACTACTGTCGGGCCCATGGGTCGGGCACAACCAAAGTCAATGCCTTTCTACATGTACAGTCGGTACGACGCAGCACAAACAGAGTTATCGACTTCGATGTTAGTTTTCGGACTCTGGTTCGTCCGGTAAGGCAAATTGGGGACTCATTCTTGCACGTTAGACAAGACGAGTCTTTCTCGCCCCCATGTCTTTTCCACAACTTGTTGCAGAGGCTTGTCAGAACTCCTTCGTATAATATGAGAGTTTCTGAAATTGTCGCAGCCTACCATAGTTCCGAGATGGTTAGATCCTCAGTGTAAGGATCATGAAAGGATCCCTCAAAAAAAGCTGGTTGTTAACGTGTCACGTCAGGCTCGTTCATGCACGCAACAACCTGAACTGTCAACCCCGACTCCTTGTCGAACTCTCCTTTTTTCCTTGTAAGGTCCGTGGCTTTGCAAATCCCTCCTCAAGCCCGCCAAAAATCCCTTACAGAATCCTGAAGTCGAAAGCTTCTGGGAGGAATCTCTCCAAAGGAGGCAGATCTGTCCTCGTCCTTGAAGCTCGGGATCGTGCCACCTTGAGCAAACTTAGCCCTCAACAATTGTACTGTAAAGTCGGCTTAGGGTTGAGGGTTTAGAGGAGCGAGTTGTAGCCCTTAACCAGGGGTTTAGAGCCTGGGGTCTAGGGTTTAGGTCCTGGGCAGCAAAACGGCCCTAAACCTTGAACTCTATGATATATAGAAGTACCAGAAACCCCTAAACCCTAAACCCTGACTAACAGGATCCGTTTATAAGGACCCCTCGAAGAGGTCACCCCCTGCACGCGTACCCCAGAGTCAAAGCAGGGCGTTGAAAGTTTCTACTGGTAGGTTTAGGCGGCTTAGGGTTTAGGGAGGCCGGGTGTTTTGCTTGAGGTGTGCGCGTGTGTACACCAATTACATCTGTGCAAGCGTCGCAATCATGTTCTTTTCAACCGATACCGCCAGCTGTGTGACTTTCACGGCATGCCCGGCAATAGTAGGATGGACAGGTATGCCCGACATGTTCTTTCTCGATGACACGGGACAGCCCCGGTAGACCCTGCCAGCGACTACCAGCCTTCATTCAACTGCCAACGGCTTCGAATCTCCTAAAGTCGTTCTTTAGATCCGATGCCGATGCCCCGAAGCCCGCAACTACCACAATGCTCAAAGCCCCAAAGGGCCCGTAGCTGACTCAACCCTCAACTCCAGAGTCTCCAAATCACTCAACTGTGACTCTAAATCCCTGTAATATTACTATTATTACTATTATTACTGTTATTACTATTATTACTATCATTACTATTATTACTATTATTACTATTATTACTATTATTACTATTATTAATATTCTTACTATTATTACTATTACTAGAAGTATCTGGCTCTCTTGTCTGAATAGTAAGGGTCCCCATATCTCTTCAAATGTTTTGCAGCGTCTGGATAAAGTGCAGCCTAGGTCGGCGGCCGGACACACTCCGTGACCGAGGGCATCTGGTGCTGAAATAATTAGGATAAGGTGTTTCGGAGTTCAGTGTTTAGTATAGGAATCGTCATTTGCAGTTTTGGAGTTTACGATTTAGAAAAGTTTTGGCTTTGAGCCCTATGCCATGAAGTCTAGTTTGAAGTGTTGGTTTATTCGTAGCCATACCCCTTATAGTCTCTATCTAGTCAGCGTATCATACACCGCCAAAGTAGTATTTTTCTTCTGATTTTCAAAATTTGTACTGGGACTTTTCGACAGGCTTATCAAAGCATTTACAACCCTCCACAGAACTCTAACAACAAAGAAATATGAAGATCAGACAGCATCAATCCCGTTACAAGACCCTATCAATAAGATAAAAGAGTGGGAAACAACACAGCAAGCTCTACTTAAAACCCTACTCCCAGGTCCCTACACCATCGACCTTGGTGCGCAGTTCATAGCCGACAAGCAGCGCCGGATTTCAGCACTCGTCGACGAGCTACGAGTCTGGCAATGAGTCTCTGGATCCTGCCTGACTGACGGTTTAGGGTTGAGGGTTTAACGTTTAATTAAGGAGGTAGTCTTGGGGGATCCTGCGGTGGCTATCTCTTGGCGCTTTGTTAGGGCTTAGTGTTGAGGGTTTAGGCTTTAGAAAGAACAGACAGGGATCCCAGCTTGCTTGAGTTCCCAGCTGTCTGTAACTAGTTTTCATAACATATAGTTTCAAAACTGTCTCAAGGGTTCATCGGGTAAGCATCGACCTGGATCCACAGACCAAGAGCCGCAGCCCAAGCTTTAGGCTTCGCGGTGTACGGCTCAGGGTTTAGATTTTCGGCTTTGTAGGGTTTAGGACAGGATTTAGGTCTGTGCCTGTCCTTCTTGTGTTTCACGATGCACGGAGTGCTGCTGGGCATGGTCGTACCTCTGGGACCATCACTTCATTCAGCAGTTAGGGGCAACAACGCAGCACACACACACACACAGAGACACACAGACACACCGACACACAGACACACAGACACACAGACACACACAGACACACAGAGACACACAGAGACACACAGAGACACACAGAGACACACAGAGACACACAGAGACACACAGAGACACACAGAGACACACAGAGACACACAGAGACACACAGAGACACACAGAGACACACAGAGACACACATAGACACACAGAGACACACACACAGACACACAGACACACAGACACACAGACACACAGACACACAGACACACAGACACACACCACACACACACACACACACACACACACACACACACACTCACTGTGAGTGAGTGTATGTGCATAGACATTGTTAGCTGTACTGACAAAGCTGCAACAGTTAGTTACGCATGTGCACGTGCGTGTGTTGCGCTCAGCTGTTTTATGTTGTATTACGCGGTCCTAGGGCATGTTATTAATATGTTGTTTCGTGACGGCTACCATGATTACTGGGGGGCCATCTTACATATATACATTGCATATGTGATATGTGTATATATACAACGTATGTATGCATATTCACGTATATATCATGTATAATATGCATACACGCAAGTTTGTGTGTGTGCATATGCTTGTATACGTACAGTCATGCCACCACATGCCTGTTCACAGCATCCAGCTCATGATAGGTTTAGGGTTTCGGGTCTAGGGCTTAGGGTTTCCTGGCACCACACTGATTGCCACATATCAACTCGCGGACCACATGCCTTTGCCTTGCCGGGTGCAGTTAGGGGTTGTCACCCGAAGCTGACGTTGAAGCTTCAGCAATAAGTACTAACATCCCTGTGCAGTCCCTACGGTTAATGGTAGAATCCCTGCATTACCTTAAGTTCATTGCGAAAACGAAGGCTCCAGAGCCTCACTGTGATACGGGCCCCTGCATGGCAACGCACTACTTGCAGATACGCATACAGCTAGGCCCCTTCACTGAAATATAAATAATAAAGATAATCTGCACGAAACTAGATTGAATCTGTATTCTCATTAAGGTGCCTGTGTGACATGTTTGGGACGGCCTACTGAGCTCGAGTCCCTACCTTAGCCTGCCGGCTTTAGGGTTGGGAATCCTAAGATTTATGTTTTTGGTTTAGGGTTTGGGGTATCCTACGATATTTTTTAAAGGGTTTAGGGTTTAGGGTATCCGACGATTTGTTTAAAGGGTTTGGGGTTTAGGGTATCCGACAAAACTCCCAGGTTATGTTACAAGAAGGCTGAGGACACCCCAAACCCTACCCTACAGTAAACCCATAAAGTTGGAAACCGGATTAAGGCCAAATAGTGCTGGGATTCCTTATACATTACTCTTGAGGATCGAGGCCATTTTGCTTCCAACTTTTAGGCTTCTACTGTAAACCCAGAGTTTCGGAATGTGTCGAACGAAGCTTCTGTCGGCAAGGTTCGGCATCACCCGCGTGGAGCTGGATTCCGAAGGCATGGGCTTATCAGGGTCTACGGTCTAGGGGTTTAGGGCTTAGGGTTGACGGCTTGTAGGGTTGAGGGTTTAGGGAAGATTAGGGTCTCAGGTCCAAGGCCTTTTTTTGGGAGTTTTCGGATTTGTGAGGTCACGGTGTCCTTTATGGGCCGTTTTTGCTGTTGTCGTTATCAACAGCTGCTTTGAGTCAAGTGGCTTAGGATGCCTTTCTGTTGCAGGAGCCATGCACGCGAGCTTCTGGGAGGTAACATGTGACTTCCGCAAAGCCAGTACCCAAAGCCTTTCAAAGGAAAGCATGCCCCGGGCGTCACCACGAATGCATTCCAACATCTAAACATCCACATCTCCAACCAGACGCAGCTCTGACAGCAAAGCGACAGCATCTGACCGCCCGCACCCTGTGAGGGCAAAACCTTTCGAGTGCTAGCTTCAACACCACTCAGACCTCTGATGCCGACACCACAACTTTCATGATGAAAGCTTCGCAACGCCCCTCCTGAACCGTGGGCATGACAAGCTGGGTTTTGCGCATCGTCACTTTAAAGCCTTGATCTGAATCAGCAGCATTGCAGCAATCGCTCATGAGCACTGATTTTATCCTGCAGGCACTCGGTGTCAGCTAAAAGCACCAGTGGGAGAGTTTCTCATTCAGTTTCCATCCTCACAGAAACTAGAGATCTTTGTTTGTGCATATGTCTCAGCCGAAGTCCCACACCAAGCACCCCAGCGCACTGAAATTTGCCTAGAACCGCATGAAAGCTGTGTAGTATACCCTAGGAATCCAGTAGTTAAATGGTTGGTTACTAACCATATTTACATATGTGTAGATCATGTAACCCTTTAACCAACAAATTAGGTAACTGGACCCCGAGGGATACCTTATGCCCGAAGCTCAGTTTAGCGCAGGCTCTGTGTATAGATTCGGAGAAAATAATCCCTTCTCCCTAATAGTAAACGGGCGGGGCCCTAATTCCCAATTCAAAAGTCGTAAGCGATGTTTTTTTCTATTTTCCCGTTCGAAATGGGTTTGAAAGGGCGCGGGATGATTTCGGGGGGTGGGGATTTTCCGGAAAGTGTTTTTAGTATTACAAAGGGGGAATCGATTACACGCACACGTGTTGCATTGTATCACGTATCTTCCGTGTGGTGTAGAGTACATTAAAGTACCAGGTCCATGCTGGCGTATGTTTTTCATGTAAAGTATGTCATGGCATTTTTACATCTACCGAACGTCGTATCAACGCCCGAAGCTAGCATGAAAAGGAAGACCCCGAGCCCCAAACCTTAAACCCTAAACCCTGAACAGCCCTAAAACCCTAATTAAAGCCTTCTCTCCTGAAGCCCCGACACCTTAATACTGAAACCCCAAGAGCCCCAAAACGCCCCAACACCGGAGCACTCCTTGTCACGACTGCTGGAACCTTACAGCCCCAAAGCCCTCACCCTAAGACCTACACACCCGAAAGACCTAGCCCTAAGCCCTTAACACCCTGCAGCCCGAACCTGGGTTCTTGTTAAGGGAGTTCATTTAAGTTACCATAATAAAGAAACCGTATTATTTACTATAGTACACTATAGATCCCTATTATAAGTTATGGTATCTTAATCGAAATCCCTTATAACAAGAACCCAGTAACCGCAGTCCTCGCTCCGACAGGCAAAACTCTTCACCGCGACGCCCCCGGTTCGAAGGTGAAGCGGATATCGGAAGACTCGTTGCCCTTGCCTTCAAGCTGCATTTCAGCGAGCCGAGGGTTTACACTGGCCTACCTTCATAGAGGTCTGGAGGGTTCAGGGTTCAGGGAAGCCTGTTTAAGGACTTATAGAGGGAAAACATACTAAGGAGCCCTAAATGGTAGGGTTTCTAGGGGCCAGGGACGGTGCAGGGCATAGGGTTCAAGCTAAGTCGGAACAGCTAATCGGTCATGCAAGACCCCTGGGGCTCCTCGGTTTAGGCTTTAGGCTTTAAGGTTTTGGCTTCAGGCTTTAGGGATTAGGGTTTAGGGTTTAGGGACACCCTCACAGCCCTATAGGTCCTGCAACTTAGGATGTCCCGTGCTTGGCGTTGAGGGTTTTCCTAAACCACGAACCACTAAGTAAGACAGCGGTCTTTCATGTTGTTCTTCGTCAAACCCCAAGCCCTTAACCCAGAACCGTGGATGTTAAACCGCGAACCTCAAGCAACCACCTCAGCTAGGGCCCAGAGGGAGCGCCGGCCCGAAACGTAAAAATGCACTGTGCCTGTCGTCTTCATGAGTCTTCATTGCAGCTCCTTTTTTGCGGGTGCCTTAGGTTATAGGGTTATAGGGTTTAGGGCTTAGGGTCCTAAATATAAGGTTAGTTACACCAAGGAAAGGTTTTGCAATGCTGTCCCCGGAAGACGAAAACGAGGTTTATGGTATCGGGTTTAGGGTCCGAGCCGGGAGCTGGAATATCCCTTGCACCCTTATCCCTCAACCCTAAACTCCAATCCCTGAATACATCCTTAAACCCCATACCGTAAATCGTAAATCAGAGGTCATGTCTTGCTCAGTTGGATGCACTTCAGTCGAGCTGGCGCTTGGAAAGCAAAGTCAAGGCACGGACAGCTGCAGTTTGCGCTTAGGGTTATATAAAAGGCTATACATAATGTTAAAGTCTAATGAAAGTATGTATCTGTCTAACTATACCGAACTATCAAACTATCTACATATCTACCAACCTACCTATCTATCTATCTATCTATCTGTTCAGTTGGCCCAGATTTTTCGGTTTTGCTCTGGCTGACGGCTCGCAAGCCCTAGACCATGCAGTTTTGGGGAACCTTGCCTCGAACTTACAGTAGAAGCCAGAAAGTTGGAATATCATTGTCGTAACCCCTTTAAGCTAGATTATAGGGGATCCTACCATTAATCCATATTCCAACTTTCTGGAGTTCCCTTTAAATCCGCTTGCTTCACCCGCCTTGCGTGCAGGCCCTCTCAAACGCGAGACTTGGTGAAATTCATGGGCCTGGGAAGGTGATTTAGTGCTCCGGTTGCGTCAATACTTTGTAGGGAACAAATCACGTGCTATCTATATGGGTGGTTGTCAAAATTAGGGTCCCTTTATGGGCACCCGAAATCTTACGTGCCGTACTATATTAGGGACCCAAAAGGGACCATAATTTTGACAACCACCCATATGTAAACCAGTAGTCTGTCACTTAGGTAGTGAAGGGGCCCAAATAATTATCAATACTGTTCTGGGGTTCCTTATTATAATAAGTATACAGTAAAATGGGCCCCAAAGCCCTACTCTAATTAATTATTAAGGCCCTACATTAACGAAGGTTAAGGGTCCAGCTTAGGTTTGGCAGGACTCCGTGGGTTTGGAACCCGGGTTCTTGTTCAGGGATTTAGTTTAAGTCGCCACAATAGGGATCTATAAACTCTATAGGTTTCTTTATTGTGGCAACTTACATTAAATCCCGGTAACAACTTTAAACCTTAAACGTTCCCTCCCCAAAGCCGTAGTCGTTGAAGCATACGCCCTTTACATCGCCAGAACAGTTGAGCCCCGATCTCCGATCCCCCAAGCTTCCTCAACCCGAAACCCTATACCCTAAACCCTGTAACCTTAAACCCTATAATTAACCCTAATTACACCCTATACCCTAAACCCCAAACCCTGTGGCCCTATAACCCTAAAACTTCCTGAATGAGGGACCTCGATAAGCTCGACACCATCAGCCTCTCAGAGCTCATGCGTTGCTTGGGCGCAGTTGGTTTACCTTTGAACCCCAAACCCTACAAAGTAGTAGGAAATGGACCCCTTAGTTGGAAGGTTGAACCCTCAAAGGGGTAAGGTTTGAGATCCCCAGGTAAGCCTTTTAAAGGGATCCCAAACCCTGCCCAAACCCCACAAAATAGTAGGTTATGCCCTAAACCCTCTACCCTCTAAACCCCTAAACCAACCCTCAGTTAGAAGGTAGAACCCTCAAAACAGTAACGTTTTGGATCTCCAGGTAGGGTTTTTAGGGATGAGGGTTTAGGTTTAAGGCTGTATCTAGGGCCTTGGGTTCAGGGTTTAGGGTTAGGTTTAAGGGTTTAGGGTTGAGGTTTAAAGGTTTAGGGCTGAGGTTTTGGGGTTTAGGGTTCTGGGGTTAAGGGCTTTGTGTGTTAATTGGGCTTTCGGGATGACTTCTCGAGAACTAACACAGGAGGCGATAGTGAGTGCCCTGAGGTTCCTTACCTAGCAAAACCTGGGCTGGGCTTGCAGTGCACAAGAGGTCAATCTGAGAAGATGTGCGGCATCTCTAAGTAACAGACATGTCTTTAGAATTCGGACTAATTACACGCCCTTGCTGTTCAAGTGTCAAGCAATCTAATCCTTGCAGCATAACGCATAAAGATATATGACAGGCCTGGAAGGCCGAAAGGAGAGTTGGAAGCACGACCGGAGATATTGAACACTACACCCTAAACCCCAAAACCCAACAAATGAGTCCCCAACTTCTAAACCTTGAACCTCAAAGCCCAGACGCCATGAGCAATTCGACCCCTTATTCCCTAAAGCAGAATCAGGATCCTGCCATCTCGGGATTCTGTATGATAGGGATCCTACAACTTGCCCATAGTTGATCCTTCCCGAAACCCCAAAACCCTAAACCCTATAGGTAAACCGGAAACTCTAACCCGTGGCTTCTTTCTGATCCTCCTAGGTCAGAAGACTTTTCTACAGTCTTCGCGGTCAATGTTGGCGCTGATGGCCCAATCAGAGCTATGTGTCCCCAGCCAGCCTTTCGGGCTCAGGGTTTAGAGTTCATGGATTAGGGTTCAGGGATGAGGGTTTAGGGTTCAGGGATTAGGGTTTAGGGTTCAGGGATTAGGGTTTAGGGTTCAGGGATTAGGGTTTAGGGTTCAGGGATTAGGGTTTAGGGTTCAGGGATTAGGGGTTAGGGTTCAGGGATTAGGGGTTAGGGTTCAGGGATTAGGGTTTAGGGATTAGGGTTTAGGGTTCAGGGATTAGGGGTTAGGGTTCAGGGATTAGGGTTCAGGGATTAGGGTTCATGGATTAGGGTTCAGGGATTAGGGTTCAGGGTTCAGGGATTAGGGTTCATGGATTAGGGTTCAGGGATTAGGGTTCAGGGATTAGGGTTTAGGGTTCAGGGATTAGGGTTTAGGGTTCAGGGATTAGGGGTTAGGGTTCAGGGATTAGGGTTCAGGGATTAGGGTTTAGGGTTCAGGGATTAGGGGTTAGGGTTCAGGGATTAGGGGTTAGGGTTCAGGGATTAGGGGTTAGGGTTCAGGGATTAGGGCTTAGGGATTTGGGTTGTGGGTGAGAGAGGGTCCCGAAACCCCCATGGCCAAAAGCTCGTACAGCCCAGGATTCTATCCTAGAACCAACTTCGCCTGAGGCCCCACAAGAGGCAAAAGCAACCTACACTAGAAGCCTGAATGTTTACCAAGATTTTTCTTTAGGGTTCTTTATTCTAATTATCAAGGCACCTGCATTGGATAGCGACCCTGAAGGCTGAGGAGGTGCGCCCACAGAAAGAGTGTCTGATGGAGCAAGACTGAGCAAGAGACACAAACCCCGCTCGTGTTCATCCGCTATATGTTATGTGGCCGGATTCTTCATCAAAATCGTTCGGTCGTCAAGATAGCCTTGGTAGCGGCATTCTTGTCGCGCTTGCTTGCTACGTTTCACGTGGTTGCGATTATTGTCGTTGTCCACGTTCAACGTTCTGATTCCCACTATTCGTACGACTGTCACGCATAGTACCAGCGATACGCTTGTCACGATCAGCGTAGTCAAGATTGGTACTATCCACTGTAGCACTATTGCGCGCTTTCAGTACAAAAAGCCTGTAGCACTGAAAAGCCCCGAACACCTTGAACACACACCGCAAGCTCTCGACAGTGACATCCGAAACGCCCGTTCTACCAAAACCCTAAACCCTAAACCCCTACAGCAACTCCGAGACGAACATTCCCACAAATACCCTGAGGAAGTGGAGGAGTCCTTGAAACACACTACGCAGGCCATCAATGCCCTAGGAAAGCTATCCAAAACCCTCCCTAAACCCTAAACACCCTAAACCCTCGACCCTATAACCCTGAACCCTGAACACACTGAAGGTTTCGACTGACGAAATCTCCGCCTTCGAGTTTCTTCAGCAGCTGAAATCTGTGGGGGGCATGGAGGTGGAGGCCGAGGAGCGCCTTAGGCCGCACGGTTTAGAGGTTTAGGGTTTAGGGGTCTAGGATTTAGGGTTTGGTTTAGAAAGGATTTAGGGTTTAGGTTTTAGGTTTAAGGATTTAGGGTTTAAGCTGGTCTAGGGTTTAGGATGGCTTAGGGATTAGGAAGCACTTCAATACCTTGGGGTGTTGGGTTTAGGGCTGAGGGCGTTGTTATGTTTTGTGGGGAGCAAACGTCATTGGAATTCATTGTTCTTTATTCACATCAGTATCTTGTTGCTACAGTTGTCTCTGGTCTCATCCATGTCTGTTTTTGCGGCTGTTCTGCTATGAGGTTTCATAGTAGTTTATTGACATGTATGCTGGTTTTATGCTCCAACACCTTACTCTCGCGATTAAACCCCGTTCATTGTGCGGCTCGGGCCGTCCGAACCACCAGCTCCCGAGGTACTACATGAAGGAGGGCAGTCAGGTGCTGGCTGAGCTTAGGGGAACTTTTTTCGAGGAGTTCGGGGTCATGTCTGTCATTAGGAAGGCCTCTGATTGTTGAACACCCTCCGGTCTACTGCGGATCGCAAGATTAAGGAAACGAAGGACGGGATCCCTAAACCCAAAACCCTAAACTGCAACATGTTTGGATCTCCAGTGGTCTGTGCCGGCCGCTGTGACGTCAAAACCGCCTCTGGTTGCTTTCCGTTTAGGGTTTAGGGTTTAGGTTCCCTCTTTGAATTTGCCAGGGCGCGCGACCAAGAATACTTTATTGAGCATGTATGAGCATGACGGTCATCATCATCGTCATCAACATCATTCTTTCCTTCTCCGCTTCGGCACTTCTCATTGCTTGCATGGTGGCCTGTTTCTTTCCTTGTCGTGACGGTTGTTGTGTTTTTTCTTTGTCTTCAGGCTTCTAGTCGAAACCAAAAGTTCGTTATTATTGCAAGCACTGCAAGCAATTCACAGGTGGTGAACCCAAAACCCCAACCCTAAAACCTTAACCTTTGGCGACATGCTTACCATTCCACAGAAGGGAAGCTTGAATCCCAGACCTCTCCAAACGGCATTTGTAAGGAAACGGACTGCCATAAAACCAAGGCCTAAACCGCTAGCGAAGCCCAGCCCTGAACCCTGCTGAGGCCATGTGAGGCTTGAGGGCAACGAATCCAGATTATGTTAGATGTTGTTGATTGATTTTGCTATTGTTTATTACATTTTTCAATTGTGAGTGCCATTCTTCGCATTATGATTGTATATATATATATATATGATATGACTGTACATTATTGTATCACATATTATATACGACCATATTGTACCATGATCTCATTCGTTTCCGCTTGGTGATTGCCTCGGTCTGCGGCCGACGACAAGCACTCTGCACCCTGAAGCCCTCGGCCTTGAATGAAAGACACAAGCTGACCCTTGTAATGATACACATTGCCATGAGGGGCTAGGGTTTAGGGTTTAGCCACCATCATCAGCATCATCAGAAGAGTAAGAATGACGATCGCATCAACAGTACCTGATCAAAATGCAGTCTAGTCACTGACCATGACATAAATACCACAGTTTGTCCTTAAAGCGATCCTGCTGCGAGTCGATCGCGAAGCGGATAGCCGCAGACCTGGGCGATGCCGTCATTCTGTCCTCTCCTGCGCCCTTGCAAAGTTTGTGGGTTTAGGTTTGGTGTTTAGGGTGTAGGGCTCAGCTCGAAAATCCCTAAGCCATGAAACAACAAGTTTGGCAAAAGTTCTGGAACGACACGTTGCAATTCTGATGGTTGCCGTGCTTAGGGTTTGGGGTTTAGGGGTTTAGGGTTTAGGGTCTAGCTGATGATGATGATGAGGAGGAGGAGGAGGAGGACGATGACAATACGCAGACGACGATGCCGATGACGATCACGACGCTCGTGGCACGTTTTCTGCTTGAGTTTAACACCCAGATTTACCAAACCAATGGCGAAGCTCGCGGCGATTCGGATTGCCTCCGTCTTCTAATCTGACCCGATTCTACTCTTCCGTTCCGCAGCAACGGGATCCTGGGACGCATATCTGATGGGAGAAAACCGCTTTTTTCCTGGTTACAACACCAGCTGTAGCTTAAAGCATCGCGAGCTAGAAGCAATCTGAACAGCGAGATTGTTTCAGTAGAGCCTTCTTTTGCTTCGCCGTGTTCCATTCGCCAGCAGTCCAGGTATCTGCAATCGAGTTCTCCGGTGAGTCCATAAAGGTGACGGCCAAAGATGTTACGTACAGCTCCAAGTGCGCCAGCCACTCACAGAACTGTGTGCAATGCAGGAGCTCATGAAGAATAACAGGAGCATGCAGGAGCAGCGGTTCGAGTAACCAGAAGGACCAATAATATCATCAGCTTTCACGTGGTTTCAGCGCGTCAGCTGGAGAAGTGGCCGGAAGATACATATGCGAGCATGCCAAAATAGAGGGCAGTTCGGCCTCTGTAGAAACACTGAAGAGCGTACTGAGGACGACACGCTTCTCGCAGCCTGGTCAGTAAAGTGTGAACCCTTCACCCTAAACCCTATAAGCCCTCAACCCTTAACTTGAAGCCTACCCGGCAGGTACGTCGTCGTCGCCGTGCCGCCGCAGCTCTATGCTGCTCGTTGTGTTTCAGTTCTTTGGGTGTCTTAAAAGTGTTCCTATAAGGTTACCATGAAGGTTGCTGTTAGGCTATCAGGTTCTCATACGGGTTGCTATAAGGTTACTTTGATTTAAGGTTCGAGGGTCACGACAAGGTTACTATAAGGGTTAGTGAGGGTCATTATAACGGTGTCTAGAAGGTTGAAAAAGGTTACAGTACTAGAAGGCTTATATACTAGAAGGGTTATTCAAGGATGCAGGGTTTCAGACTGCCTGTCCGTGGAAATACGGCTGCTGCGCTTCCCAAGTCAGCACACAGACACAGAGACACAGACAGAGACACAGACACAGCCACGCACACACACTCAGAGGGTTTAGGGTTTAGGGTTTACACTAATGAAGGTATTGGAAGCTTCCACGCTCTGGGGATAGTGGCTTCAAGGATCCATGCCTCGTTTCTGTTTTGCTCCTATCTCCTCGGTGCTTCTTGTATGTTCCATACAGGGGGACGCCGGCATGCTGCTCTCTCAAAACAGTGATGTTCAAGGTGCAGAGCTTCTAGAGTTCAGGCGCTTGCAACCTACGAGATTGTCACATCGTGATCCCCGCAGTGGCTCAGGAGACACCAGCCATGGACCTGCGCCATGCCAACCCTGAGCCCTCATTACACCCAGAGGCTCTTCAGGCCGTACCTTAGGCCCAGAACAGACGGGCTTGAGACATTCAGACTGTAATTCACGACCCTAGACCCTAAATCCTGAACCCCAAACAGTACCCCCGCCTCCCCCGACCGACCCCGAGTCCTCTGTCTTTGGGCCTCTGAAGCCCTGATGTGGAATTTTGCTGCCTTTGGAGTCCGAGATCCCCTCACGCATTGAAGCAAGGATGAATTGGGTTTCGGGAGGGTTTCGGGCGTCGGGGTCTATTGACTAAAAACCTGTCAAGCCCCACAAGCACCCCGATGCCTTAAGTTTATATTGGCCCGAAGCCGCAGTTGTCCTCCGAGGCTAGCATAGGTCTGCTGCCGGTGCTGCCGCCACATCGGCAGAACGCGCTGGAAGGGTCTTTGCCCCAGCTTCGCAGATTGAGGGCTTCCAGGGTTTGTGCAGTAGGATTCCATAGGGGTTGGGACTACAAAACACTAACCCGTAAAGCTGAGGATGCAAGCTCTGTAGTTCATAGACTTTCTGGGCCTCGGGGCTTTGCAGAGTTTAGCAGTCGGGCGCCTTGGGTTCAACGGAGGCTTAGGTCTAGGATTCTTAGGATTGGTAGCATTTGGGTTTGAGGATTTGTGTTTTGTCCTCGGGTCTTTAGGATCAAGACCGGCGGGTGCCAAGACCGGCAAGTATGTACTGCAGCTTTTCGCGACCGTTCTGATACAAGTCGCCTGGGTCGGCAGTACTTGTAGAGTTCAGCACGGCAAGTTTGTGTGGTAGTGTCGGTCGAAGCACGCCGTACCTGCTAGGGCAGGTTGGTGTTGCCACGAAAACTTCCAGCATTCCCGCATTCGCCGAGCGCCAGGGAGAGCCTTTTCCCCCTCGTGTGAGGCATTGGTGTTTTTTTGGTCTGCTTTCGGGTTTAGGGTTTACTTTAGTGCCCAACTGCCCAATCATATGCTCCTAACCATGAGATAAGGCATCCAAACATATGGCAATTGGGGATCGGGGTAAGTGAGACTGGCTTTTGAACATGCCTGTCCCGCAGATCATTCTGGATCCTTTAACGTGCCATAGGCCTTCAGCATGAGTCAACTGCCAGGTAAGGATTTTGTTGCGAGGCGGGCAGCTTGCTTTGCAATACCGGGAGTTGTAGCGTTGACATATACTACTACTACCACTACCACTACCACTACCACTACCACTCCGACTACGACTACGACTACGACTACGACTACGACTACTACTACGACTACTACTACTACTACTACTACTACTACTACTACTACTACTACTACTACTACTACTACTACTACTACTACTACTACTACTACTACTACTAGCCACGCGCCCCCTCCCCCCCTACCAACTAAATCCCTTACATACTCTTGTAACCCACATCCGTTTTACTCGATATTTACAGCACTTTCGTCATGTAGCATCTTAGGAAGCCTGAAACTGCACATGCGAGTTTTCAAACTCCAGCATCCGATTCTGGACTTTTCTTTAGGGGGGGTTTGCGGGGTGTGCGGGAAGATTCATGACGACATTGTTACGCCGACACCCTGAACAACATCTCCGTAAGAGCCGTTGTACTCGATATTTACAGTACTTTCGTGACGTGATCCATCTTCAAGAGTAGCCAAGCCTACCTCTGGAATTGGCTACGTTGTCTTATTGCCTTTGCGAGGGCTTTCAGCGAAAACTCGAAATTGGTCGGGGGAAAGCTTTTTCCTCGGTCTTTAAGGTACTTGTCTCATGTCACACTCCATTGCTAACAATGAGTTTTCAAACTCCAGCATCCAATTCTGGACTTGCTTTTTGGGAGGGGTGGCGGGGGGGTGGGGGGGGGAACAATGATGACGACATTGTTTCGCCGACACCCCGAACAACATCTCCGGAAGAGCCATTTTATTCGGTATTTGCAGTACTTTCGTGACGTAAGCCATCTTATATAATCGCCAAGCCTACCTCTGGACTTTGCTACGTTGTCTTTTGCCTCTGCGAAGGCTTTCAGCGAAAACTCGAAGTTGGGTGGTCATAACTGTTCGAGGCTGCCTGTACGTTATCAGCACCCCCCCCCTCCCCCAAAGCAACGTATGCAACAGGGGTTGTTGGGGGGGGGGGCCTACTACTACTACTACTACTACTACTACTACTACTACTACTACTATTACTACTACTACTACTACTACTACTACGACTACGACTACGACTACGACTACGACTAGGACTACTGCTACTGCTACTGCTACTGCTACTGCTACTGCTACTGCTACTACTACTACTACTACTACTACTACTCCTACTACTCCTACTACTACTACTACCACTACTACTACTACTACTACTACTACTACTACTACTACTTCTACTTCTAGTTCTAGTTCTACTTCTACTTCTACTTCTACAACAAAAACAACAACTACTACTACTACTACTACCACTACTACTACTACTACTACTACTACTACTACTACTACTACTACTACTACTACTACTACTACTACCACTACTACTACTACTACTATACTACTACTACTATACTACTACTACTACTACTACTACTACTACTACTACTACTACTACTACTACTACTACTACTACTACTACTACTACTACTACTGTACTACTACTACTACCACTACTACTACCACTACTACCACTACTACTACTACTACTACTACTACTACTACTACTACTACTACTACTACTGCTACCACTACTACCACTACTACTACTACTACTACTACTACTACTACTACTACTACTGCTACTGCTACTGCTACTGCTACTACTACTACTACTACTTCTACTACTACTAGTATTGACTACTACGCCTACTACCACCATCTTCTTTGCCAGACTAAACATGACCCCTCTGGAAGCCAAGGACGGGCCCACTTACGGGTCGACCACCAGAGCCGTAAGCCGTAAACCATAAAACCCCTAAACTGTAAATGGAAACCCCCAAACCCTAAGACGTAAACCTTAAATTCTAAGCCCGGTCCCACAACTCTAAGGTGGACTCCGGGCACGGCGATCAAGACCATCATAGTCTGGCAACAGCCCTGGTGCCACACCCAGGTCTGGGGTTGGGGTCGTAGCTCTATGGCCGGGTTCGGTAATGGTTTTAGGGGTGGGGGTGTAGCAGGGTAGGATTTTAGGGTTGTTTGGGGTTTTAGTTTCCTTTTAAGGATCTGGGCTTAGGGTAAGGGGTGCGTTGAGCATCAAGGGGCTTTGGGGTGTAGTATTGTAGGCTTTTGGGGTTGAGGAGTTTCGGGTTTAGGTGGGAGTTTCGGGTTGTGGGTTCCTTCTAAGGCTGGGTTTAGGGTGAAGAGGGACTGCATCTAGGACCAAGGGGCTTTGCAAGCAGGTCGTCGTAGGTAGGATGGCCCAAGGCCGCTGATGATTTGCCGGCTTAATGTTTGAGTATTCCCACATGTATGAATGGTCGCCGGCAACAAGAATTCAACAAAAAGATCAGCAATGAGGTACTGTCTCTAGTCACTGCACGTGCCGTCGCAGTAAGCAACAATTGGAGGAATGGTCAAGCTGAGTTGTAAGCTCAAATGCATGCGCTCCTTCGTAGACTCTAGATTTCCACTGATACTATAGTCTCAGTTCGTCTTGTGCGTGGTTATTGCGCGAAATCAAGACTCCCAAGAACCCTGACTGCAACAGCAGAACCCGCAGCGGAGAACAATTGTTTAATCGACCAGAACCTACCTTAATGAAGTGTCTGTAAGTCCCAACCCCGACTCAACCCTGAACCATCACCCTAGACTCCGCAAGCGCAGAGTTTCGGAGGCCTTAACCGCGACCTGGCTAGTTTTCTGTATTCGGGACTTTTTGAGGCCCCAAGTAGTACGGCACCCGTATAAAAAGAACCCTAAAGGGGACCCTAGTTCAGAGAAGTACCCACAACGCTAGCCTTATAGTACCCTTAAAGAACCCTTAAAGGAGCCCTATAAACCCTAAGTTCCCAATTCCTACAAGGGACCCTAG